ACCATTTCAAAAAAAGTATTAAAATGCTTAACTCCTGCCAAACTTTATGGGCTAGTTACATCCTGCCACAGAAGGGGAGGGAGATGGGTAGTGTGACTAGGAGAAAAAGAGAGAATCACAGAATCAGAGAATCTTAGAGTTGGAGACATGTTAACTCTGGTTTATTTGTTTTTTTTTTCTTTCTATTCCATAAAGACTCTGGCAAGAAGCATCCCCCCTCCATATACTCCTTCCTTCACCCTCCCTGCAGAGGAGAATGAGAGGAAGAATGGTCTAAAAGATTATCAAACTGCCTCACTCACTTTCTCTCCTCCCACACACCTCAAAGTTCTTTACTTCACCCAGGGACCACAGGGACAGATGCCAAAGCAGTATATCTCTTCTTTCTTGGGCAGTGAGCCACTTCAAAGAGGGGTTTAATAGAGCCCATGAGTTTTCATCCATTTCAATAGGCTACCCCCCCATAACCTTCTTCCACCCTCACATACTCCAGCCCCAAAGGAGTATAGCCCAAGGTTATGACAGTCCTGCTATGAACCCATTTCCAAAGTGAGAATTTTGTCCTTGTCCCACTCCCAAGAATATGCTCAAACCCCTCCCTAAATGAAAGAGGAAATATTCCAAGGCTGCACATAACCAGGATCTCTAGTGTGGATGCTTGTATTTCAGTCTCAGGAATTGGGCCCCCTCTTCCTTTCCTCCCCCTCAATAATTCCATCAGGAACAGGATAGGGGGTGGGGAAGAAAGAACCAAACAGCTGCATCCCACTCCTACCCTATCTGATCAAAGGCTCCAATTTGTTAACTTAACCTAGAAAGCCCCCGAGGTATTATACCAGAGAGTTCCTCCACCCAAACAGAGCTTCTATGTTGGGTTGTTGGGTTTTTTTTTTCCTTTTCAGTGGGCAGGCAATGTAAAGGGGAAATAAGGACAGATGTGCTCAGAACGGAAATACTGCACAACACTAACTTGGCTCTGGGTAGAGTCAGATTATAGGCCCAACACCTCCAATTCTGTCCAAGTGGAAAAAGAAACTACAGGGTGCAACCTTTCTCCAGCTGTGTGAACTCTGCTGCCCAGGGATTCTGCCAACCAAAGAGAATCAGCACAGCACTGGATTGCTCTCCTCAGTCCCCGGCTGCCCTAGATTTTTTTTGTTATTCTCTTGTTTTTTTGTTCTTTTGGTAAACTGATTCCCTCCATGGCCCAGTCTTCATTGTTATTGTAATAGTTGCAACAAGGTCTCATGATTACTTTAAAACTTGTTTTCTTGGTGTGAAATTATTCAGTATTAGCATGAAAATTAAAGAAAAGCCCTCTCCAACAGCTGAACTGTAGCCAAAATGTTCATATAAATGCTGATGTAAGAGTTCTGTAAGCTGTTTAACAAGTGATAGACCTAAGAGCCTTCTAGGCTGAGAACATGTCATGTTGCCCATCTTTAAAAAAAAAAAAGGGCAGTTTTTCAATATCACCTTGAGAGGGCACATAACAGGCACACAATAAGGTCAAGTTACAAATCTCAAAATGCATGTTCAGTAAACTATCACTAACTCAGACTAATAAGCATAAAAGCTAACCTGCATTAAACTATTTAGAATGAATAACAATTTTATTGCTTTCCACTGAAGCCAGCAGGATGTAGGATTGACAGCATGGTATTGTGGAAAGGTGCCAGATTGGAAGTCTAAGGGTATAGGTTTGAATCATGTGACCTTGGCAAGATTTAATCTCTTAGCCTAAGTTTTCTCATCTATAAAATTCAAGAATTGGGCCAGATGATCTTTAAGGCCATTCCTGTGTCTAAGAATCCTACCTGGATCAAAATTAACAAAAATGTACCAACCTAGTTGAAGTTCTTGAGGAACTGTAGGAAGAAATTGGTGGCAATTATTTGGCATTAAAATATCGATTGTAAATATGTAAATGTTTGCTGTCAAAGTACATACACAGGAAAACTATATGTACTTTTAACTCCCTAATGATTTTGTTTATACCATTCATTTAACAAACTCCTTCTGTCAAATGCAGGTAAACTTCTAGAATTCCAAATTGTAAAGGGATCAGTTTAATGTGATACTAGAATAGCTCTTTTCACTTTACAATCTCCATCCCACAACTGGAAGAAGACAAATAGAAAGAGAAAAGAAATGGTATGATGAGCTTAAATAGAAATTTAGCATGTCAGAACTCCTATGGAATGGGGCTCACATATTCCTGTTCCCTTAAAAACAGAGGCAATGTGATTTATATAACAATTATCACATACATTAGATGAGGACTTGACAATCAGACCTGCTCAAAAAAGGAACAAAACTGAGTAGCTTCTTCTTCAGTGAGAGTATAGAAATTTAACCACTGTGGAAAGCAAATACTCTATTGACATAAACTTGTTCTCCCTCCCTACTGACAGAATTGTCTAAGTTCTCCCAGATCAGTCAAGTTCGTAACCATTTATTAAGATTCTACTGTGTGGCAGGCAGTCTACTAAATATTGGACATACAAAGAAAGACCATACCTTCCCCCTACAAAAAAAGTCCCTGATCTCAAGAAGTTCACATTATAGGGGTGCAATGTATAGAGTGCTGGACATAGAGTCAGGAAGACTTGAGTTCAAATCCAGCCTCGTATACTTCCTAGCTGTATGATCATGACAAACCATTTAACCTCTGCCTGCCTCAGTTTCCTCATCTGTAAAATTAAAATAATAACAGCACCTTCCTCCCAGGGTTGTTGTGGGGGTAAAATAGGATAATATTTATAAGGTGCTGTATTAATGCTGTCTATTATTATTTTATTCTAATAGCATCATATTTATAAAGTGCTATGTAAATGCTAGCTATTATTATTTTACTCTAATAGGAAAGATAATGTGCAAATGATTATGTACAAACAAGACATAGGATAAATTGGAGATGATCTCACAAAAAAGGAGTTAGCATTAAGGGGGAACCAAGAAAGACTTTTTGTAATAGGTGACATTCTGTCCTAGATTTGAAGAAAGACAGGGATACTGTGTGGCATAGACAGGGAGGGACAGAATTCCAGGTATGAGGTACAGCCAGAGAAAATGCACATTCAGGAGATGAAGTGTCTTCATCATTTTAGAAAGAAAGCCAGGGTCATAGAATCATCGAAAGCATGGAGGGGAGTAAGGTGTAAGAAGACTAGAAAAGTAGAAAGGGACTAGGTTAAAAAAGGTCTTCAGAGCCAGAGGATTTTATATTTGATCCTGGAGATAATAGAAAGTCATTGGTGTTTACTGGATAGAGGAGTGACATGGTCAGAGTTGACATGGTCAGACGTGTGCTTCATAGAGATCAGTTTGACAGCTTAGTGGAGCATGTACTGAAGAGAGAAGAGGCAAGGAGACCAACCAGCAGGCTATTGCAATTGCAATAGTCCAGGAATGAAGTGGTAAGACCCTGCACAATGGTGGTGGCAATGACAGAAGAGAGAAGGGAGGGTATACAAGAGATGTTGTAAGTTAGAATAAACAGGACTTGGTCAGTGATTGGATAAATGGATAATAATTTGACTAAACAGATATGGAAATGTATGCACTTTAGTTGCATGAAATGGTTCCTGGACTTCAGTTGAGCAGATAAAGCTACAAAGAATTCAAGCACTTCCATTTCAATTAGGCCTCAGAACCACAGTGCTGATGTTGTCCCATAAAAAACAAGACTAGTAGAGTACTGCAGATGTTCTATCAAAGTCAAGAGCACAGGGCCAAAAGCTGAGTAACTTTCACCTCCCAACAACAGCCTCAAATCATCCTGGGATATGCTGCCTGAAATCTCTAATAGAAGCAATACACAAAACTGGATTTAAATGTCTCTGGACCTTAGTTTACATAGATACAAATGAGTAATCCTTCCTAATTCATCTCCAAAAGTTACCCATGAGGCTATGCTCTCATGATAACTACTCACAAAGCTCTATTTAACCTTCTTAGAGCTAGTTCCCAATTCATTTTGAGTCTCTGATAAACAACCCATACATAATATGCATGGATCCAAATCTCATCAATGCTCCAAATTATGAAATAAATCTTAAGTGATATCATTCCTATCACCAGCATACAGAAAAGGGAAAAAAAGTGTTTAAATGGAGTCTGACATTGGAAGGCTACTGAAGCATTCCTCTTGTGCACAAAACAGAACATTCAGAGTTTTCCAGTGAACAATATACCACAAAGTACACCTATCAAGAAGAAAAACAAGGAAGATCCAATTTCAAGAAGCACATGCTGAAAAGTCAAGTGTTGCTCTAAGAGGTCACAAGCCTAAATTACCTTGGCATATAAGCCCTGGGAAGGCTAACAGGGTTCCAGTTAGCTAATCCTTATAGCTTCACAAGGATAAGCACCATCTACTCTGTGCACCTACCTATCCCTTCACCCTACACCCCCTTAAGCCTACTTGCATAAGAAGACCTGAAAGAAGGCTTTAAAGTTAAATACCCAAGTGCCTCCATTTCTGAACATGCCCATTAAGGGTCAAACATTCCAGGCTTTCAGCAATGGATGACTCCACATCAAGCTTCATTAGAAGTACAGGGAAAAGAATTTAAGGGTGAAGAGGGAGAAAAAAAGACATTGGGTCACTATGAATTAAGCCCATTACCTAGAGCTGTCGGAAGTCCCAGATGGACAGCAAACCAAATGAAGCACCATTTCATTTTGCCCCATAGTTATTTATTCTGCCATGGTCACATTAAAACCAATAAGCAGTCCCATTCAGTTAAATCTTGTTCTTCAAAATGTAGCAACCCTAATATTGACTCTTATGAATCAGGGAAAGGCCATTAACTTAAATAAGAATGCCAGCATTTAAAAAAAAATTGAGACTGTGAAAGATAAGAGCTCCTTTATGATGTGGCATGGCTTTTGTTATTAACAGAGGCTAATCTGGACAGAAAACCCAACAAAGTCAGACATAAAAAGTCTAATTACAATAAAATATAACCCACACTGACAACCATTTCTTCTCCTACCTGAGAAGCACTTATCCACCATGTCTGTCTTGTGATCATGCTTCAGTGGCCATCCAGTAAAATGAGATTTAGCCAATACCTAAGAGAAGGGCAAATATATCATACTATGCAAAACATAGCATCACAAGCATCAAAAAGGCTTTAAACAATCTGAAACAAAACAACCAATCTCAGCAAAGACTGAGAGATGCAATAGTTATTAGCAGAACCTTTCGGCTATTACTCTACTGTATTGTACTCATTTGATCAGTTACTATTTTTTTCAGTAGTTTTGATTTCCAAACAGACTTTGGATATACTGGTGACATGAGGATGACATCATCCTTGGACAGGAGGCTCACAGGAAAAACAATATTCAACAGCAGAAAACAGCAATGCATTTTCCAGACATACCCTGGAATGACAGCCATTATGCTGTATCAAAATAAAAGTCACTCCTGGCTTCTATTCTTTTGCCTACAAGAACTTTTATTGCAGTTCACATCAAGAGCAAAAAAAAAAAGGTTTCCAGTTCTCACAGGAAAAGAAAGAATGACTTTCAAATTATGTATTTTTTGAGAAAATGACTTATTAATACTAAATATGAAACACATGTTTCTCTTAGAAGTTGTTTTCTCTTCCAGTGGGAAAGAGTTCCATATTTCACAGCTATGCCTTTTCTCATGAAAAGGCAAATAATTAATATTGGCTCACTTTATGCCAGGCCTATTTATTATACTTTAACTAATGAAGATCCCAACAGCAAAACTGATTGTCTCACTTAGAAGACAGACATATCAGCTAAGAGTTAGCTGGGCTGACCCAGCAACAAGAGATATTTACCTATGAAGATCCACTGGGGCTTGTGGGGAATGGGAGATTTCAACCCACCTGAAGCCATATTTTCTTTCCAGGGATCATTTTCTTCCCATGTCAACTCTGAATCACTGCATATCTCTCTAGTGTTTAGACACTTGGACTGTAAATAAGAGAAAAAGAGGTCTCCGTGTGTGTGTGTGTGTGTGTGTGTGTGTGTGTGTGTGTGTGTGTAAAAGTGAGTAGAAGGGGAGACCTTCAAGGGTATAGGATGTTTTCTAGGATATAGAAAAGGTACTGCTGTCCACTGATATGCCCACAGGCCCATGTATATAAAGGACACTACACATCTTAGAATAAATTCAACCTTTGCCCATCATTCCCTCCCTGCTTTTTCCCTAATGTATGTCACAGAATTGTCTTGGCGGAAGGTGTGAGATACAATTTCTCAGGAGGTCCTATCCAATTTCCTAGCAATCTGTAACACATGAAAGAGCACTCTGCATTCTGTCACTGTGATACAGTTCCTTCTCACAGATAGCACAACTGTCAGTCTCCCCCTACATAAACAAACAGAATGAGCTAAGCACAGGTCCCCATGCTATTCATGCAGAGGATGTAACTGTAATGGCAATGTCTGGTGATTGCACTCAATTATACCTATTGTTAACAAAAGCTATAGGCAGTGGAGATAACTCCCTTTTCCTACCTGTCTTTCTCATAACAGTCTGTTTATTGCTAACACTGTTTATGCATGTTTTAAAGTAAGGATTAGGGTCATCACAGCCTTCCAAAATCTAGGTAATTGAAAATAATTCTATTGTTGTTTTTGTATTGTTTTTTTTTAAAAAATCATGATTTCTGGAAAACTACTTCTGTCAGGAATCTTGTATATCTTGGCAGTCTTGTTTTGTTTTTCTTTTTCCTTGTCTGGACCTCTGATCATATCTGTATGGGGAGCTTTCTCTGTGAAGAAACTCTGCTTGCCAATGTATATCGGCAAGTATCTGCCTAGAGTTACTCTGGTGATAAGTGCCAGTGGCAAGACCTGAACCCAAGTCTTTTTGACTCTTAGTTCAGTACTATATCCATCACTTCACCTAGCTTGCCTTTGACTTGTGGATCAAAGGCAAGACTTGAATGTAGGTTATCTTGACTCGAAGACCAGCTTTCTATCTAGTACAATGTACAACTTTAAAATAGTTGAACACTGCTAGTGAATTAAGTGACAATTTTTAATTAATTCATTCTCTTAAAAGAAACAGCATTGTCAATACTTGTTACTTGGAGGTCAAGAAGACTTTAGTTCAAGTCTCACTTCTGACATATAAAAGATCAAGCAACTAAACTCCATTGGTGGAATAAGTCTCCACACCAAGAGTTCCTCTACTGATAAAATCACAAGAAGAAAAAATAAAGATCACATAATGAAATTCTATGTAGAGTTGTATTAATCCTGGCAAAAGCACAATCTCTGAAGAGTAAGAGTTTGATAAATATCTGATGATGTGAATTTGAAAGTATTTGATTCCAAAATCCTAGAACTTAACTCTAGAAAGAGTGACCAGTGAGGAATCAGGAAACAGACTCACCTCAAATTAGCTGGATGAGATCTTAGCTAACTAAGCCAATTAGACTTTGGGTTTTAGTTCCCTCATCAACCGAAAAAAGTACTACCTGTTCTACTTATCTTGACTTTTTAACAAAAGTTATCTTATATAAAGGCAATATATTATTAATTCAAGATATGTCTAAATTGAATTTCAATAAGATCATCTCCTATTGATTTATACTGAGAACAAAAAGATAGTAGATCTTCCTTTTTTAACTTTTAAATACTAGTGACAGTTATTCCCTTAGATATGTGCACCTTGCATCCCTCAAATAATTTGAAAACATTTGAAATGCACTGGCAAGCTCCTACTTTTAAAAAAAGCAATCTGGGTTTATTATTTTACCAATAAGAAGAGTTTCTTGATCAATCTAATGAGCTCCCTCATCAGTTTCTTTGGCTTAGAAAGTCTGAGTTTTTGAAGTCAGGAACACATCTGCTTGTGAAAAGTGTGGGCATGCCCGTTTGGTGCTTTGTTAGGAGGACGGCGATTGGTTCCTGACTGGGTTTCATAGACTGGGGCTTTCCCTAAGATAACTGGCTAAGATTCTGGGGAGGACTGATGTGAGTTAGAGAAGCCATCCTCTCTCCAAGGCCCTATGAAAATAAGGTGACAGAACTATTCAACCACTTCAGACCTCTTGATTACCTTTCCCTCTGTCCAGGGGACAGAAAAGGGAAAATCAGAACATGCCTATGTTCTACGTGCAGGGGCAGGCTATGCTTGAACACAGTCTTATCCCCATTAAGTCAAGTCAATAAGCCTATGCCAGGCATTATGCTAGGGATACAAAGAAACACAAAAAATATTACATGCCAAGGAAGAGTAATGGCTGCCTTGGAGCAGGGAGATGTAAAAATTAAAACATGTTTACCCACAGCTCTCTGAGCATAGATCTGAGACCAGAAATCTGAGAATGGACTTCCCAAACCTAAGAAATTACCAGCTGGGGCAATAAGAACATAACTATAGAAGCCAACTTGCTTGCTTCCTAGGCCCAAGACAGACACTCATGGATAATGATCCTACATCTCAGCCTCTGGTGTAAAGGGGAGACTTTGATTTCTTAGGCAGTGTGATCCCCAAATCTAACCATGTCACAAAGAAGGGAGATTTCTTGGGCAGTGCCTGCCTTGTGGAGCTGCTTTCTGGATAATTCCAAAATGCAGAGTCAGGGACTCCAACCTTCTAGCCAAGCAATTGGGGTTTCCTCAGTAATATGATCCTGGAATCTAGCTTCCTGACCTGGTAATAGAGAGTTCTTGGACAAGGAGTTTCAGAGGAGCATCCCATTTGGAGAAAGAAGAGAATTGACCACTTGGCCCCTATGCTGTAGTCAGAGGAGTAGTAAGGAGTAGTTACATTATCAGCAAGCAAGTGACTGAGACCTTACCACTACCACCAACACTCTGTGTCTGTCTCTCTGTCTGTCTGTCTGTCTGTCTGTCTGTCTGTCTGTCTGTCTCTCTCTCTCTCTCTCACACACACACACACCACACACACACACACACACACACACATACACACTTTGCAATGAATTGTTCAAACAGCACAGTTCCAATGGGAAGGGGATAACCCACTCATCCAGCAGCTCCAGAGTGCATTTGCTTCCCAAGGAAAGCGCAAATCACATGAGTCATTATGAGTCTGAGAGGATGTCCACTGGACCCTTTGGGGGAATTAGAGATATGCCAAAATACTGACCATAATTCTAAATTCAATTCTTGCTAAGAAAAAAAAATGCAGATGATTAGGTCAAACAACAAATCATAGAAACAATCAATAATTTCATTCAAGAGAATGACAATAATGAGACAACATACCAAAACCTATGGGATGCAGCGAAAGCAGTTCTTAGGGGAAGTTTTATATCTCTAAATGCTTACATAAATAAAATAGAAAAAGAGGAGATTAATGAATTGGGCATACAACTAAAAAAACTAGAAAAAGAACAACTTAAAATTCTCAACTAAACACCAAATTAGAAATATTGAAAAGAAAAGGGAAAATTAATAAAATTGAAATTAAGAAAACTATTGAACTAATAAATAAAACTAAAAGCTGGCTTTATGAAAAAAAACAATAAAATAGATAAACCTTAGGTTAATTTAATTAAAAAAAAAGAAAGAAGAAAACCAAATTACTAATATCAAGAATGAAAAGGGCGAAGCTACCACCAAGGAAGAGGAAATTAAAACCGTCATTAGGAATTATTTTGCCCAACTATATGCCAACAAATTTGACAATCTTAGTGAAATGGATACATATTTTTAAAAGATATAAATTGCCCAGATTAACCGAAGAGGAAGTAAAATACTTAAATAACCCCATCTCAGAAAAAGAAATTGAACAAGCCATTGATGAACTCCCTAGGAAAAAAGCTCCAGGGCCAGATGGATTTACATGCTAATTCTAACAAACATTTAAAGAACAATTAATTCCAACACTATATAGACTATTTGGGAAAATAGGTGAAGAAGGAGTCTTACCAAATTCTTTTTATGATACAAATATGGTGTTGATACCTAAACCAGGAAGAGTCAAAAATAGAGAAAGAAAAGTATAGACCAATTTCTCTAATGAATATAGATGGAAAAATTTTAAACAAAATACTAGCAAATAGATTGCAGCAACTTATTACAAGAATAATACACTATGACCAGGTAGGATT